GGCCGAGGGCAGCGCCGTGGAGCTTTACTACACCGTGCACCCCGGGGACGGGCGCGGGGACTGCGCCGACGGGGACCCCAGGAAGGGCAATGCCATCCGCCCGGGGCGGGGCGGCCCGGAGGACTCCACGTCCCACCTGCGCAGGATCGGCGCCGTGGGCCTCTACCGGGCCCAGGACAGCGGCGATCGGCTCAGCGAGCTGCGCCTGGACGGCAACGTGGCCATCTGGCTGCCCTCCCGGCCGGCCAAACAGGGGGAGGTGGTCACCGCCTACGTCACCGTGGCCAGCAACTCCACCCTGGACCTCTTCATCCTGAGGTAGGTGCCCGGCTGCCCCACGGGAGGCTTGGCTGCCGCCGGGTGGGAGACGGCGGGGATGGGTGCTTGAGGGCAAATATTCAGGAAGCGGCGATTTTCCCGACCTTCGGGGCCCCTCCGGCGTCACGTGGAGCCAGACGGCTCCCCTGCCCTCACCTTTTGCCTGTGTTGGGGGTGGGGAAGAGGGCAGAAACGGACCCGAGGTCGGCGAGACAAGGTCCGTCTCTCCCTTTCTGCCCTGAACCGCCATCGGACTCGGAGAGCACTGAGTTTTTCTGCAGCTGAGTTCTTTGGTGCAAACACGGTTTGCGGGATCGAGAGCCCGGGGTCAGGGGGTCCAAGAAAGGGCACCTTGCTCTGTGGGTCTGTGAAAAAAGCCGGGGAGAGCACCCTCTCCCGTAGTCGGCGGTGGGGTTGAGGACTGCCCGGCGGCGGTGGCGGGGAAAGCCCCAGCTCCTGAGCGCGGTTTGGCCGCGATGAAAGGAACCAGCCTGACGGAAAGTGTTTCAGCCGTTTTTCTGTCGGTGTGGCTCAGCCGTTAGAGCTGCAGCCCACACTGGAGGGTCTCGGGTTCGATTCCCTCTCAAGGGCACGTACCTGAGGTGCAAGTTGGATTCCCGGCCCCGGTCGAGGCTCATGCAGGAGGCAACCGGTCGATGCCTCCCCCCCCCTCTAAAAATCAATGAAAAAAATACCCCCAGGTGAAGATTCACGGCAAACAAACAAAAACAAACAAATAAAACCATCGCTTAGCACCTGGCTTGGGGCCTGGTGCCCTGAAGATGAGTTTTGTTGAACCTGCATAGTATTGTCAACGCTAATGCACTTTATTGAAGAATCTGCTTTTCTGTTTTCTCTCTAAAAATCAGAAGGTCTGAAAAATTAAGCCCAGGTCTCTACTCCGATCGTTCGGAGCCAACGTGCGGCTGCTGGGGGGGGGCCGGGGGGGGCACTTTGTTCTCTGCTCCCTCTCAGCCCCCCACCCCCCAGCCCCGCCAGGGCCTTCCCAGCTACTGACACCCTCTCTGGACCCCTGGAGGCGTTTCCCATCCAGCCCTGTGCTGGGGGTGCCGTCGCTGTGGACCTCAGTCCTCGGCTTCACCCCGTTAATCGTGTTAACCTGTTCCTCTGCCAGAAACGGTCCAGATAGCCGCTCATTAGCCTGGGCCCCGGGTCTGTTTACAGTTTATTAGGACGCCGGCTCCGTCTGGACTGTCGCCAGGACGAAACCGCAGGCTCGTCTGCCTGATGCTATCTCCATCCCCTTGCGAGGCGGGAACGGCGGCCCCTGGGACGGAGGGTGAGAGACGCCGTCTTATCGGGCTGGGCTCTGCGCGTGTCACTTTGCACCCATCCGAGCACGAGATAAGCCCAGCGTCTCGGGAACAGCAGCAGCTCTGCTCCGGGCTCAGGGCGCGGCTTCCCCGCCCAGGCGCCGGAAGGTTCCTCGTGGAAACTCTTTGCAGGGAGACCAAGGGTCGGAGGCCGGCCGGACATGCAGGTGGACGATTCTTTCTGCAGGTGTGGTCGCCGTGCCCCTGGCCACGTACCTGACTTTAGTTACCACCAGGACACCCACCTTTTATTTTACTAACCATCCTTTATGTTAATATGCGTGAGAACATTATAATTAGCTTATGGAACAGCGGGCGCCCCACCTAAGACCTAAAGCTAAATAGCTGAAGAGACCAGACTGGATCCATTTCCGGAAAAACACGGCGACACGTAATGAATGTGATGGTTGATTCTCAGGGGCAGCGCATGTGGCAACGTCAGTGTGGAAATAGCTGGAAATTGAAGAAATGCTGCCTGGCCGGCGTGGCTCAGTGGTGGAGCGTCGACGCGGGATCCAGGAGGTCAGGGTTCGATTCCCGGTCGGGGCCAGGCCCGGGTGCAGGCTCCTCGATCCCCAGCAGGGGGCGAGCAAGAGGTGGCCGGTCAGTGACTCTCATCATTGATGTTTCTCTCTCTCGCCCTCTCCTTTCCCCTCTGAAATCAATAAAAACATTTTTAAAAAGAGGTAGATTTACTTTAAAAACCCACACAGAAATAAATGCTGCTGTGGACGCCGGTACACTTTGTGCCCCGATTATTGTCAATTTTTTTTTTAACAGAAGCACATGCCCCCAACACATAAAACCTGGCCCTTCCACCCTTCGTGCCGCGGAGCGAGCTCCCTTTCTGTTCCCCTTGTTTCATTTGGCTCCTCTTGTTTTCATTTGGACGGCAGCCGAAATCATGAATATTCATGACCCTGTTGAACAAGATTTTTATTGAAAACAAAAATGGATCTGAAGTTTCCCATTTGCAGCTCTCTGGTCGGCCAGTGAAAGAGCCATTGAAACATCCGTATCGGAGACGTTGGTTCCTCGCCATTTACTTTTTTGCTGAGAATGTCGATTTTTGGCTACTGAGGTGTTCTCCCTTTTTTGGGGAAAAAAAAACACACAAAACCACACAACACAAAACCCACCATCTTTTAAAAAGTATTATATTTATACAGTTCTGTTTTCTATCCGTGAGCGCCAGAGGAAGACAGGATACGGTGATTAATGAGAAGAAGGTGATTTTTTTTTTTTTTCTGGCTGCCCTGAGTGAGAATAAAAAATTAAAAAATTAAAAAAAAAACAGGCTTGAAATCAAGGCTACACGTGGGCCTTTGACGCCTCTCGAGCTCCCTGCACTTCTTGGTTCCTAGAAAATTGATCCTTCTCCCCCCCCCCC